TATATATATATATAGCAAAATAAATACAAAAAAACACGCTGAAAATTAAGAAAAACAATAAGTTTAATTTATTGCGCATAAGCTGCAAGTAAACAGAGAGCATAACATAAGTTCAAAATGAAGATAAAGTAAAGGAAAATTACAGACATTTGAAAAAGAGGAGGGAAGAGAAAAATAAATATCAAACAACTGGGGAAAAAAAAAGTATAAATATTTTTAAAAAGTCCGGAAAATGAAATTTTTCATTGTTTTATCAGATATAATCTTTTTCATAATAAAAGATATAATCTTTTCACACTTTTTTACGAATATAATCATGTGGGCTAGTAAAAAGATTATATCTTTTATTTTCCGGATTTTTAAAAAAAATTTAATTCTTTTTTTTTTCAACCAAATATATTTTTATAATTATTTTGTGCGATTTTAGGTGTACGCATTTCTTTTAATTGTTTTCTACTTAGCGAATTTTTGTTAACTCTTAAATTAGTATATCTATTTTTGAAGCATTCTTTACTTTTACTCCACGTTGGTTAGTTTGTTTTCTGCCTACTGTCCGAAACACATTTTCAACTGCCTTTTTTAGCGGTATAGCCACGTAAAGGACAGGAATTGACTGATGAAAACTTTTACGCTTTCACATTTTTAGATTTTCTGTTTTATTTCACTTTCGTCTTCTTCTTTGTGTTTATATACAGCAAAAAAAAAAAAAGAAAGAAAAGAAAATACAAAATAAATTTTACTTTATCAGTTTTTTAAAATTCTATTTTAGTGTTCATAGCATTATTTCTATAACTATCTTAGCATTCATAGAAGGAGAAAAGGAATCACACTTGAAACACTTACGTTATTTTTTCAATTGCTCGGCAGTTCACGCATCACAAGCTTGATTTATTAATAATAACAAACCCTGTATTTCTTATGAAAGTAGTAAATTTTTACAAAAAAAGTGTTCGGATAGATAAAATTAAATGCTCTAATGAAAATAATTGTTCGAAGATGCATATATTGCCAAAAAAATTAAACTTATGCAAGCGGTAAGATTCATGAATCAGATTTATTTTTTTTTCTTTAATTTACTTTAATTTTTTCAGTTGCTTCTTTTCAACTTTTGTAATGATAAAAAAACATTAGACTGAAAAACTCTTGGCATCATTCAGAGTGAAGAATAAGGTTTTTTAAGTTAAAAATGTCAATATGAAATCTGTAGCAAATTTTGCTTCACTGGAACAAATTGCTTCCTACTTAAAATAATAATATTTTTCCTTCTATTATATGTTATATTTTTTTACAGGACAAAGCCATCAACAAGACAAGCATGTATATTTATCAGGTCCTCTTCTTAGTTCTTGCTATTTTGCAACTTAGCTCAGCCGCTGAGTGCGATATTAGTCAGTGCGCAATAAACAGGTTTACAATCCAATGCAATCCTGGCTATAGACCAGCCTATGGCATATGCAGTTGCTGTATTACTTGCGAAAGGGTTCTAGGTAAGTGAAATTATTAAATTAGTGAAATAAGTGAAGTTATTAAATTAGTTCTTACATAGTTAAAATAATTACGTAATTCTGTCATTTAACACATGATTAGCATGTAAATTTTAGAAATATACTTTCATAAAAACTAATATGATACAAAAGTGGAAAAATGTTGAACCGTAATGTTGTGACTGTTTAGGCGGATAACAGCCATTATTTGACACACTTTTATTGTATTATTGCACCTTTATTGCATGTATTGTTTTGAATTTTTTTTCTGTTCTACTGTACGATAAGAAAGTAATGTAAGCCTCTAGATATTGTATAGGACTCATCAAATATCTTATTTATTTTCAAAATTAGAAAATTATATATAATTTAAAGCTATTATAATTTTTAATTATAAATAGTTTTTAAACGAAAAATATATTGTTTCTTTATAATTTAAGTTTATTTCGAATAAAATTTATCGATATTTATATAATATTATAATAACATTATAATTTATAGAATATAATATTATAATATCAAAACCAATCCAATTTCTTCACTCTCCGACTTCTGACTTTGTGTGAAGGCAGAAATAGTCAAGCTTGGAAGAATATGAAAATAATGAATCCTTAAAATTAAACAAAATTATATTAAAAAATATCATTACACAGATATTGACGATTCATATAACATAGATGAGGGAGCTGCGATAGCTCAGGGGATAGAGCATTAGCTTTCCATAGAGGTGAGCTGGGTTTGAATCCCAGCGATGGCTGGCTTATTTGAATTTCGCTCCCGGCTTGCACTGATTACAGTGCGGACGTGAAATATACTCAGTTGTAGATGGATGATGGATTACAGTCTCATTGTTATCAGGCTAACCATGGCAGGTGCTCGTGGTCTTCCTCTCCATGTACATCAAATGTTGGTTAACTCTACGAAAAGTCCTCCATGTAGGCAAATTTCTCCCAATATTTGATCCAGGAGTACCCTTGCCTTCTGGATCGGGTTCAAAATTACAAGACTACGCTGTTGAAGATTAGTTGTCAGAACCCCCCAAATATGTGGACAATACTAAAAATAAAGAGTAAGAGTTCATCTTAGTACGTAATTTTATTTTATTTTATAAACGTCGTTGAACAGCCGACCCAATTTCATGGGTTTACGACTACTTACGTTCAACTCCGTAGCCTTGTAATTTTGAACCAATCCAGAAGACAAGGAAACTCCTGGATCAGTACTCCCAGAGGTATTGATTTGTTGTGGGAACATGGAGGACTTTGAGACTCGACAGATTTAACGTGCATCAGTCACCATTTACTACACGGGGAGTCTTCGGTCGGCGAGGATCGAACCCACGATCTCTTGGATATGGGCCCAGCGCCCTACCGACCAGGCTATCCTGGCCTTTAGTACGTAATTTGTACTTCTTTTTGAAGCAAGTAAGTTTCTTCCTCTCTCTCTCTCTCACACACACACGCACACACAGACACACACACACAGAGAGATAGATATATATTAACAAAATTTAGTTTTGAAAATGTAAAAAAAATCACAAGTTCCTTAAAATCTAGATCATCTTTTTATCAATTACATTTACACATTTCATCTTGCTCTCTTTTTCAGAGGAAGGAGAAAGTTGCCAAATATCAGCGCCTCAATACGAGGAGACTACAAATGGTGTAGTCTATGAAAATTATAGCTATCCGCAATGTGGATATGGTCTATATTGCAGTGAGACTACCAACACTTGTCAACCTATTGACTATTAATTATTCCACAATGCTTCAATTTAATCTAGATTCCCAAGAATTACGATTCCACTTTTTGAATGAAATAAATTTTTCAGAAACTCAATGCTGTTTCGTTTCTTCTCTGAAATTCACCACAGATTCACTTTCAAACATATCTCAAATCATGGTATCATTGAAATTTTATATATCCTAAATACAGGGTTAAATTAACCACAAAGATCCGGATATCTTAGTTTTTAGCCATGAAATTACCTAGAGAAATAAAGATAGACAGTAAAGTTTTTTTTTCTTTATCTCTTAGCCATGATTTATCATTGCCAAATTTATCATTTATCTTCCGTCCTTAACATTATTCTCTGCTATTATTACGTTTTTAATTTTAATGATCATTCAAAATGAAAGTATTTGAAATTGAAATTTATTATAAGGTATTAAAGGAATTTAACTTATTATATGAATTACCTTATTAAATATATTATGATAAATATATTTTAAAATAATTGAAAGGTGAAAGAGTTCTGTCCACTTTTAGGATATTTTGTTTTCAAAAATGCAATAAATTAATATGCATTCTGATTATAATGTATTTGCCTAATCAAAATATAATTTATAGTAATTATTTAAAATTGTAAGCCGACATTAAGATTTCCTTTCCCACACTGTTGTGTTTAGGTCTAATCTCTTTAAGACAATCATTTATCAATATTTCATAGAAAGCATTAACTAAATTTGAATTTTATAAAAAATTAATCTGTAGACTAAAATTTTATAGTTTTCGTGCAAAATTACTTTTTTTAAAAATATAGTTAAATAACGAATCGGAAAATTCTTTGCATGAACCAGATATGTCACTAAATTTTTTACACTGTTCTAATTTTCTCGTTAAAAAATGGTTAAACAACAATTTCTTTCATGGTAATTTCATCATAAACAAGCAAAACAGTCAAGTAACCATAATAAAAATGATATCTATACTGTTATGTGTAAGAAAAAACGTTTATTGTTCGTTTTATACAAATACAGTTTAAAAACTAGAATTCTACCATCCCTAACCAATTCCACTTTCAAAAACCATTTTGTTCGGTACAGATATTTTAGTTTTTTAGTTCTGTATTTTAGTAAACGACTAAGCCTTAGGTTTTCTGTACTTCAGTCAGTTCTTTATTTTACATTTTTTAATAAACAGTTAGTTTTTTGAAACATAGCTCTATTTCATAAAATATAAACTCCATTAAGCTTGTTCCGTTATTCAAAATTTCTGATTATGAATAAAGCTCAGTTATAGAATGATACTAGATTCTAATAAAACTGTCATTCAATTTTCGAGATCATAACTTTTACCGTCATTTATACTTTGTGCAGCGGGAGCTACTTTGTGCAAATTAGAATTTGACATTTTTCAAGTGCTGCTATTCAGTATTATGTTTATTTCACTTTAAAAATGTGTGGAATTTGAAGATAGAAGTCTCTTCTATTACTACAAACATTTTTTCGAATTTCAAAACAATCTCAGAGTGTGTTTCGTTCATCCAATGCCAACAACTTTCCGAGGACGTCGGATGTCGAAAAGTGTGGGTGGTAACTTTAGCTGTGAAATGCAAAGACGTTGATAAAAAAATTGTCGTAAGTGCAAAATTTTTTATTTATATATTAATAAACAACTATATCATGTTAGCGTTAAAAAAATTTGAAAATTAATAACAAATAAATGGAAAATGAAAAAAAATGCATTTTGGGTCTACTTTGTGCAAAGTTTCATTCGTTTTTTTTTTTTTTTGACAGAAAAATGGTCAGACGTTATAAAAAAATAGCTGGAACGAGAAACTACCGTGATTACACTTTAGAAAAGCTGCAACAATGTTACAAGCAGTTGTTGGTGGTATGTCGATTGCAGAAGCTTGTCGGAAGTACAAAATCCACAGAAATACTATCTCTAATAAAATTCACAAGAAACACGTGAAACTTCCTGGTAAACTATTATTTTTCTTCTACAAAGATTTTTCTAATGACGTAATCAAACGATTTAAACATAAAAATATATTTTATAGAACATCGGGTAATTTTGACAGAAACTGAAGAGCAAGATCTGTCATGTTCATTCAAGGATGTTATGTTCAAATTTAACAATATTATAAATGTTAATGAATATGTAATAATTATTATTTTTAAAATTTCATCCATTTCAATGTTTAAAAATGTATATGGTTTTCTTTTGTTTAAACTCAAATGTTTTGAAACAAACATTCTTTTTAAGAAAAAAATTCTTCAAAAAAACGGTTTTTTAAGGCTGAAAATTATTTTTAAACTAATATCTTTACATATCTTGATGTTTTTGTCTTTAAAAATGTCAACAATTAACTTTTTTAACAATTTTATATCAATATTTTACTAAAAACATGATTATTAAACTGAATTTCTATCGCTTCACAAAGTAGCCCCATTTGGGGGCTAC